AACAGGTGAAGACCAGCACCAAACCAGTAACAGCCCATATATGCATATCGAGGCCTTTTTTTTTTTTTTTTTTAACAAATGTGTTTATTCGATGTTTCAAGCTTTAACATACTTAAACACATTTACAGAATTCTTTTCCTTATTCAACAAGCTTTAATTCTTTTCGTTCCATATTAAAAAAAAACAAAAAAGAAAAAGAGAACCAGCGTAAACAAAGAACTGGTCGGAAGGTTACGTTTTAATTTCATGACAGTTGAGATGGTGAAGTTAGAATATACAACTTTTTTACTCTTGAGGTCCAGCGCTGTAGGTCCTATATGATATTGAACACCTAATGTGTCTCGGTAATGTTTTTAGTCCAAAAAAGTAATTGTAATTTCTATGGGTTCCACCTCATTTCTGCGAATAAGACCATATATTGTCAAGGTTGGCTTTGCGTATTTTTCGCATTATTATACTTTCTGATAACTGTCGGCTCCTTTCACCATTTGGTACTACCAAGTCGGGGGGAATTTCGGCCTTGCCAAGGACATAGTTATCATTCTTTTTGCCCCAACTATGAGGATTTTGAGCAGGTACTAACTTTTTTCGTAATAAATTAATGGTACAGTAGGGAAGACCCAAGAACAAAGTTGCTACATGCGGGTCTTCTTTTATGTTTATGTTGTAAATGAGAAATTTCTGCACGCCCGATCTTCTCCAGTACCATTTTCAGTTACGGGATTTGGCGCGAAGTCCCAGAAATAGGTTTGTGTGTCTACCAATTTGCCAGTCATTTGTCTCCAGGCAAAAGAGTTGTCTTCTCCTTGTTCAATATTTAAAGTAAGAATGATAAATGAGGTATGTTTTGAAAAGCAGGAGATTCCACGCTTCCAGATGAATTTTTTCATCGCTCTGGTTGGTGCTCATGGTCAGTTGTTGCCCATTCTCTACTACATCTATCACTTTTCTGTGTACTTCGATCCCACCAAATTATTTATTCAGCACGTTCATTTCGATATTCCGCTATTCATACCTTACAAGTCCAAGAGAGGCTCTGTCTTCAGTTTTACCTGTAAATATATACTTTATAATTATAATTGTGAAACAACTTTTTCTACAAACCATACATACACATATTTCTATAGCATCTTGATGAAGAAAGTTCTGTACGAAGGACTGTATATTGAAAGACTGATTCTTATGGTGATCAGATAGCCATTTCTCTAACTGCAAAAACCCTGTAAGTAATCTGTGGATTATCAATTACCTAATAATTTTTCCTGTAAATGGTTAATAATGAACTTTAGTATATTTCGCCCCGTCAAAATACAGTATACAATAATCATAACCGCTTTTTTTCAGTCTTTCAACCCTTGCGAATCTCAGAACCTGTTAAAACTGTATTACAAAATTAAAACGACAACTCCTCCCCCTTCAATCATTCCTAATTGCACTTGCTAAAATATCTGAGGTTTATGTAATCTAGTTGATAATTCGGTAAATTTTATTTCATTTGCCCTAGGACTTATGGATGTGGGGTGCATTTATTTTTTTTCCCTTTACAGAGTTTTAAAAACCTTACGTGTGGCACTCTCCATCCAGATATTTTGAAATTTTATTTTTTGTCCATATCTCATTTTGAGCCAGAATTGGTAATACTTGTAGTGAGACCTCCCTGGGCATGAATTATTTGCTCCCTAAAGATAGCCCATGTTCGTTCTTATTCTTGTTTTACTACCAATTCTACCTGGCCCGTAATATAGTTCAAATTTGGTACATTTAGACCTCCGCTTTGCTTTAAGCTGCTGGTCAGGTTGTAAAATTTGAATTCTGGGTTTCTTTTTTGCAAGATACAAAGAAGGAAATCATTTTTTTAACTTTTTGAATTTTAGTTATGCTGAGATCCAAATAGGAAGAGACAGGAAAAATATAGCCAGCATGAGCCAGAATGTTTGTTCTGACTGTCTCAAATCCTACCCAAACGGATAGTGGCCAAATATTTCCCCATCCCCCTGTCAGGTCTATTTCCGTAATCTGTTTACTCAATAATTTCGCCATAATTTAAATTATACAGTTGAGAAGCATCCCAAGGAAATACGTTAATTCCCCAAGTAATCGAAAACCCTGAGGTGACCCAGTTTTAAATTTGACCTTATCCGATAGTTCTGGTGGACCAGCAGCCCATTCAACATCATAGCTTCAGATTCTCCGATTCATATGACTTTATAGCCTGAGGCCCTCCACCAAAGTCTTTCCAAAAAGTTTTAAAAGTTCAGGTTAAATCAGAAGTGCTAGGGACCCTCACTATTACTCGGCTGTTAACTTTGCACTCTTTACTCAGGCAGTAAGCTAGCGCTCCCTTTCTTGCCGCAGGCCCCGCGGTCCTCAGTGTTACTCACTCTGGTTTCAGTAGGGTCAGCCTCTCCTCAAGCGTGTCTATCCAATGCTTCAATTTCCAGCCCATTGATGTCCCATCCGTGTCTGGAAACTCTCTGCAATTTGTCGCGTGCCTCCCCGGACTCTTGTCTGAATTTTCGGAGCTCTTTTTAAGCAACTTAGTTGCTTTCAGCCTCAGACTCACCTATTGGCTAACCCTTACCAATCGAATGTTAGCTCCCTTTTGAGTCCTTTCTCTTCCCCGGGTCTCGTCGTTTTTCCCCGGTTCTGGAGTCCCTTTTTTGGTCTCGTTTTGGCTAACGAGCTCAATTTTTCCGTGGTCAACCTTTAAAATTATCTGAGCTGGGAATATGTTTGGGTTTCAGGCTTTAAACTGAAAATCGGCGGCAGAGCGTTCTGTGTTAAGGCGTCTGACACCGGGCATCGGCCGGAACCCGGAAGTCCGATTCGAGCCCCTTTTAAATTGATCCTAAACCACTAAACTCAAATTACCAAATTACATTTTGAAAGCCGCTTGTTCTTAGTTTTTCTCACAACCCCACCAGCCTGGAAAAACACTGCCAGCCAGTTTCTGTTTTGTTATCAGTTAGCCACGCTCCTGCCCCCTATTCGCAATGTGCTTAAGAGAAAACTGAGTTTTTATCAACCGTTAAGCTCGCTTAACATCAGGACAAAGTAATTATTGTAACCGTCTTCACTCTCTTCATATTCGATGGTGGCAGGTGTTACAACCAATGACAGGAATGACAGCCTTAGTAATGCATTTATCTCATTAATAGACTTAATTGTTTAATGTCAGCTTATATGTTTTATCTGTTCACTGCACCATATATTTTTGCACTACAATTATACAGCTTATTTATACATTTTATAAATTTTATAATTTTTTTATTTTGCATTTTTTATATTGCTTTTTTATATACCCTCACTGTCTAGGTTGTTCTCGCCTTACTTATTGTATTGTTACTGTTGTTACTGTGTGTAATGCTGCTGCAATAGTAAATCTCCCTTTTTACTCAGCTGTCACACTGAAACTGGCCTCCAGCAAAGACAGTAAAATCATGTCTTTTATGTGGTCCTGAAATGCAACAATATTTGTCTTTGTTGATTTATTTCTCAAACAATTAAACTAAACTACCATGCACTACAATGAAGCTACTAGACAAATTCAAAACAATAAATGAGAACCTGTTATCTTGTCTGATGGAATCATTAATATTTGTAGAGACGAAAATAAAACTGGCCTATATTTCAAAATACACACACATAATCAAAAGTTCAGAATCAACACAAAAGCTTTATTCAGTACAGTCAGGTGGCTGGGAGCACTACTCTACAT